GGGGGGGCGAGGGGTGGCCGAGAGGCATTACACACGTTGGGACCGTAGACGCCACAGGAGTAGGCGGTCTGGCCTTTTGTGCTCAGTATAGGGAAAGGGTTATCCTGTGCAGTGAGCGACTGGCTGTGGTGGCGGCAGAAGATTTAGGGGGACTTCGGATTTTGATTACCTAATGGTCGAGTACTTTTACAGGCAAGGCAGCGCACAGGACGGTCGAACAGTATCACATAGTAACCAATGTATTACCGGCAGGCGTTAAGAGTGCAGAATACGCGTATTTCTAGCTTATTAGCTTTTGTCAGCTGCACATACCCAACTCCAGTATAGCCACAGAAACTGCCGCTACACTAGAGTTTCGAATCCGCGACCAGTGAGCTAGAGACGAATGTCCTATCCACTGAGCCGAAACAGCCAGGGTTGGTGAATCCTGGACCAGATCGGTGTACATCTATGTAGTAATCTATACCCCGATCGACAACCGGCAAGACGTCGATCCGTTGGCTCAGTGGATAGGACATTCGTCTCTAGCTCACTGGTCGCGGGTTCGAATCACGAGAGTAGCGGCAGTTTCTGTGGCTATACTGGAGATGGGTATGTGCATCTGACGAAAGCTAATAAGCTAGAAATACGCGTATTCTGCACTCCTAACGTTTGCCGGTAATACATTGGTTACTTAAACTTAGCGAGTAACATAATTGTTTCGTCCTTGATAAAAATAAACTGAAAGTGTCCAGTCCCTCGCCAGACGAAACAGCCAGGATTGGTGAATCCTGGACCAGATCGGTGTACGCCTATGTACTAGTATCACATAGGCTTTACTGATTGTTCCAAATGGTCAATTACTTAGAGGCATTTAACAAGGGCCTAATTAGTGGCCTCTGCTTCCCTTCGGCATTTCCCGCGGTGTTATCGTCGGAGCTGTCTATTTTACTTTACCATTTGTAGGTATCAGAATCGTGGCCGTTTCATAGTCGTTCGACCCTTGCGTTGTTTGGCATTCCCTTTTGGTGCTTCCCAAGTTTACCGTATACTTTCCATAAGCGACTGCGGCATTTTTATCGTTCAAATCATCTTCCATATGCCCGTCTTCGTCACATATCTCGTAACGGCCTCGACATCTGTTAATACATGTGCCCAAACCTTGAACACGAACCATTACCCAAATTCAGACTCTACCTATAAGTGATTGTTGGCTCATAACCTATCGGCTACTGGTGGCATCAGTTATCTGCAAACAAATTTGTACACCAGCGACTCAATATGTCAAGGACATCCATTTTAACCCCTTATGTTTGGTTGAGAATAATTCCTATTTCATTTTATTTTCTTGTAGGTACGAAAAAAGCTGATATTAGCGGACACGATGTATTGAACATTTCCAGACTGGCAGCATGCTGTGAGGAGAGTATCAAGTCCGGCCAGCACGTTTACTTCCACGTAGTGAACTACGACTTTTAGCCATGGCCTACAGGGATTCTCTTGATATCTGACCTAGAAAGCTTTGGGTAGATCAAGGTATCTACGGAATCTTATCTTCTACTGAAGTCTGTATTTACGAATAAATTTTTTTCGGTATGCACCAGTTCCTGAGGCCAGCATATAAGCAGCAAGGACACGACATGGGGGATTTTGAGTATTGCTTAGTTGCACATACTTTCCGCCAATGGACAAGCCAGAAACATCGTGTTTCGTTTCTATTTTGGCCCGGTGGACTCCGCGCCCTGTAACAGGATTCAATGGTACTCGAAGTTGGGCCAGAATGCAAAAAATACTGTCACTGGTAGGAAAATTTGAATAAGGGTGCTAATTGAATTTAGTTCGCATGAATAAAAATGACTCAACTGGTAGTCTCACTTGTGCCACGGGAACGCCATCGACACTACTCCTTGATTTCCTGTCAGCAATTAAGGGGCGACGTGTATTTCTAAATAAATAAGAAAGCGATAATATCCTGGGCTTTTTTCGTTTCGTACACCCTCCGCCTTGACAAATAACTTGTGCTTCGGATATTCGCTACCTTCGAAAAAATCTAATTGACAGACGAGAACACGATGCGAATCCTAGATCGTTGGGGTCTCAGTTGGTAATGCAGCAGCTTTCTCACTAGGTGCACTAGATGCAGGGGTTTCACATTCGCTGTACAGTTGTCAACTCCTGTCCGCTTCCCTCTGTTGCTGTAACCTTCGACCAGTGACCTGTTCAGTTCAATTTATTTGAGGGAAATGTGGGTGTGTACCTTTGAACTCCGTAGTTGTTTACATACAGCTCAGTTATATCAAAAAATTTAAAACGTTATACAAAAAAGGCAACGAAGTGTGTAAACTCTGCACAGATAGACTATATCTAATGTTATTGGCACAAGCAGTCATATACACTCTTTCGTGTGGAGTACAGTAGTTGATTTAAGTTCAAGGATGCCACACAGAAACATGTAGTCTATCGAGTATCTAAATGTGTGGGTGAATGTCAGAAAGCGTAGGCGATGAATTGGACGAAGTAAATAATTAATGGATAAACGTTACCTAAATAAAGCGAGTAGTATCATAATAATACTCATTGCGACCACGCCTGTCATTTGCGCTTCCCACTCTCGTTGATAGTTGTCAACGGGTTTGCCCTCTCGGGCGGCGTGCTAGCTATATTGCAGACGTAAGTAAGTCCGAACAACTGAGATAGAAGGAATCCAAATCAAAGAAATCCGATGTCAGCCTGCTCGAGGGACCAATCAATGAATTAGTTCCAGGTGCCCGAATCCGTATCCACAGCTACAACCCTGGTCGGTTTCCGGGTTTTCACCATTCACTGTCTATGCATAGGAAAATAAAATGCGTAAAATTGCCGAGCCCTAATACATATCATTGCCAAACGATTTGCGGCCCTCGCGTCCTCCGAATTACGAAAATTGAAGGAGTCGGTTTTTGCCGAAAAATGTAGCGCAAGGAAAACTGAATGTTGTTTATAGCTGTCAGCCAAATGGTAACCGATTTCCAAGAGCTCGTTAACTGCCCGGGATAATCGTGATTACTGAAAAATGAACGTTTCGTATTACGGATCATTCTGGTTTGCAGTTGCAAGCCAACAAGGGGAAAGTAGTATTTTTTTATTTTTCAGCAAGGTACAAGGGCAACAGTTCCGTGAAACTTTTCGAAGAAATGAATGGCGGTAAGAATAACGCACTACATTTCCATTGGTTCAGGCACCACGACGTCTCGAATGACACGAGTAGTGACAACGTCGTACTCGACCTTCTGCAAACGCCTGTCCAGTACCTCTGTCTTACCGGACTTTGGAAGATATCGAGCGGCACTAACAGGGGGGGGGAGAGACGAAAGAAGAAGTTACTAGACAGCGACAAACTTGGAAAGTAGAAATGCAGTTAACAACACCCACCAATACTTGCCTTCGCGTATGCGAAACAGTTGGTTAGGCAAGTTAAATAGGGTTTAGGTAGTAGACAGAACACTTACCGCACGCCCTTCTCACAAGAAACGTCAAAACCACGGAGGTATTCGGTATCTTTGTTTGTGATGACACAGAGGTCGACGCCGGTGCCAGAGTATAAGTCATTGAAGACACCGGCCTGGATAGCCTGCTTTACCAGCTGCATGGCCTCCTCTTTCTATGATTTTAAAATAAAGAGTTCTAGATTATTAAAGGATAGCAAAATCAGTAAACTGTTATACTTACCAGTACAGTGGCTTTAATTCGGCGAAAGTCGCCATTCAAAAGGGCATACATCAGTTACCTCAACTACTGGCAAGGAAATGGCAGAGAAAGACAGTCAGCAGGTTGTCATTCTGACCCTATGCAGTGCTTATAGCTGATACATGCCAGAGTGAACCGAAAGGTCTCTCTGAAAGCCCAGGATACATTAGCGCAGATCCATTCTGCCCTACTTAACACTCGGAATCAGGTTGGTAAAGCAAAAATAGTGCACGGCTAAAGGTAAAGCCAGGAGACTGCTAAGGCTTGAGGGTACTTCTTTCAGAGCGATCCTACCCGGAGTTAAATTCTAAGGTGTAATGATAGAGTTGATATCGTCATAGCTTAAAACGACAAAGCTAATACAGTCGACGACACAGGACTGTTGATGCAGAGAGTTTCACTGGTTATGCTAGGTTTTGGGAATATTTGCGAAGTATGTTACGCGTCTGCTTAATGACCATAATAAGGTTATTAAAACGTCCACAGAAGGATTTAGGATGGAGCCAACTACAGGACACTGTTCAATCCACCGTCCAACGCGTCCTTGGCCGCACACGCCGCCAACACTAGGATTGGTTCGACGAAAATGATGCAGTTGTCAGCAATCTGCTCGCCGAGAATAACCGCCTGCACACAGCCTACGCTGACCGCCCTATCAACGCCAGGAAAACATCCCTCTACCAAAGTCGCCGTCTTGTGCAACAGCGGCTGAGGGAAGTGCAGGATGATTGGATGGCTCGCAACGGCGAAGAAATCCAAGGTTGCGTGGACTGCAATGAATGGAAGAACCTCTTCGCTGCGATCAAGGCTGGCTACGGCCCCATTGTCAAAGGCATATCTACTCTGCTCAGCGCTGATGGATCCACCCTACTCACTGAGAAGGCGCAGATTCTGAAATGCTAGGCTGAGCACTTCAAAAGCGTACTCAATCATCCTTCCATCATCACCGAAGCCGCCATCGACTGTCTGCCTCAGGTGTAAATCAACTTAGATCTCGACCTCCCACCTACCCTTCAGGAAACCATCAAGGCTGTGCATCAACTCTCGAGCGGGAAAAATAGGATGGATAAAAATAAAGACAAAACACGTAAAAAACAGTATTCTGAATCCTCTCATCCTCGGATCGTGCATACATGAACAAGAGCTGGCAGCCCAGAGCGAATAACTAACGGTTGGAAATGTTGCGAGCTAGAACCGGCGTAGCGATAAATAGCGATAGCAGGAACTGATCACGATGTTTAACCGTTGATTTTCATGGAGACGCACATGGCTAAGCAGACCGATGTGGTGACTGAATTATAATAGGCAGTGTGAACAGAAGAGGCAGGTACGGTAGGCATATTTTGATGTGCCGGGTACGATTGGTATGTATCCGTGCGATGTATCCGCAACCGAATGAAGGTGCACTCATAAAGGCAGGAGGTCTGCAGCGAGTCCGCATCGCTGATGCAGAAGTTAGTGACGGAGAGGGAAGTTTTGGTGTGCGACAGGACGTTGGGAGTGTTCTCACTAGTAGTAGAAGGACGATAGTTGTCGCCACCATCGGAAAGCGGTTTTTGATATTTGTGGTGGTAGTGGTGATGATAATGATGATGAGTATGATGATGATGATGATGATGATGATGAGGAGGACATAATAATAATAATAATAATAATAATAATAATAATATGATGATGATGATGATGTACTAGGTCAGACAGTTCACTGATGCATGCGAGAAGGAAAAGGTAGGAAGGACCGATGATGATGATGATGATGATGATGATGATGATGATGATGTTGATGATGGTGATGATGATGATGATGATGATGATGATGATGATGATGATGATGATGATGATGATGATGAAAGATGATGATGATGATGATGATGATGATGATGATGATGATGATGATGATGAATGATGATGATGATGATGATGATGATGATGATGATGATGATGATGATGAATAAATGATGATGATGATGATGATGATGATGATGATGATGATGATGATGATGATGATGATGATGATGATGATGATGATGATGATGATGATGATGATGATGATGATGATTATGATTATGATTATGATGATGGACGGCCGATCATTGGGAGTTTTCTTGCCAGTGGTGATCGCCGACGTCGTGTGAATGTAGGCGGTTTCAGACACAGCGGAAAGGTGTGCAGCGCTGGTAGTGCACTGGGTCCGAAGTGTACCGTAACTACATAAATATTCGTAAAGGGACCCTCTAGCTAAGAAAACGAGTTATCACGATACTATTCATGACCTCGAATTCTGCTGTCGGGACGTGGACAACCTCTTCTGTCTGACAGGCCATACTACCGATATCGACGTCCTGATTCAGAAGTCAATAAGAGTGACTGAGTCGAGGCAAAATAATATTGTTCACCTAGTGCCAACAAAGTACTCTAAAGACCTAAGCCAACAGATGCTAGTAAATACCGAAACAGTCGCTATTCAAATAGCCTCTCAGACGAGACGATCACTAGAGGTAATCTTCGCGAATGTAAGAAGCTAATTCAACCAACTGAACGAACTTAAAAACGTAGTTGATCAAATAGAGCCAGGTATCATGGTATTCATTGAAACATGGCTCATTGAAATAAATCTTGGAAGTTCCGGGAGAAACTAAATTGTGTGATAAAATAAATAGCAATTGGAGAACTATTAGTTCATTTACGCGGAATATTATTGACCACAACTGTCTTTTCGGAAGACAATCATTGACCGTTCGAAAGGGGTGAACTAGGAACTGCAGGCCTCTATTAAAACAGAAATCCCTTTTTCAAACGCTATAACCTTACTGGCACTGAAGAGCACTTACGGGGATATAAAAAAGCAATTGAGTATTTGTAAAAGTGAGGTTGTTAGGCTTCGAAGGAAACTTCAAAGTAACACATTATACAATTCGCTAGAACGTCATGGCGTCTTATACGGCTACATAAGGAGCACTAAAAAACAAGATTTGGTCACCACTCTTAGGCTTCAAGGTAGCATATTGGAGACTGATTAAGAAGTCCAAGCAGGCTGGAGGCGGACTCTACAAAGCGTCTGAAGATGCTCCATGAGACCACTGGAAAAAGCATACATAGATTTTGTTGGACGGTATTTCCGCAATCGCTCTGTATTTTTTATCCTAATTTGCAAAACAGGCGCACTCGTGGTTCTCGATTCCACGATGTTTTAGTGTGCGCGTTAAAATACTGTGCATAATTATTTTTACTTTACGACAACATTATTAAAATCCAAAAACTTAAACCGCCTTCATATCATGGCACAAATATGCCAAAAATGTA